CGCCACCGCCGCTCACCTCGCGGAGCCGCTGCGCCTGCGCGGGGCGGGCCCGCCCGGCCGCGGTGCTCCCCTCGGCTGTCCCCGGCGCTCCGCGGCTGCACCGCCAGCGTTCCGGCCTGTCTGCGCGCCCACGGCGGGAAGTGCGGCGGGCGGCATTCCGAGCTGTCCCGTATTCCATTCCCGGGGAGCCCCCGGGCACTGAGGGAGCTGCCGGTGGGTGCTGCCGCCGCCCCTGGTGCGGGGCAGGGTCTGGCCCTGCCGCCGCGCTGGGCTGGGGCGTGAGGCAGTCGCCTGGGGCCGAGGGGTTTGCCAGCCCGGCCTGCTGATCTGTGATCTCTCTCTGTCTCCGCTTCCCTCTCCCTCTCTCGCTGTCTTCTCTCCCCTCCCCCCGCTTTTTTCCTTTTAAAAAATTTAATAGCACAGAGAAGTTTCGCTTCTTTCTGGCCCGCAGGTTGCTGTTGTTTGGTGGTGCGTTGTTCTCTTGGTTTTTTTCCCTAACTGTAAGGCTGGGATTTTAGTGGAGACCGTGATCTGTCGCGATGAGTTTTCTGCTGCCCAAACTGACCTGTAAGAGGGAAGTGGATCAGGCAATAAAAAGCGTCGCTGAGAAGGTTTTGGTTCTCCGTTTTGGAAGAGATAATGATGCTGTTTGTCTGCAGCTCGATGATATTGTAAGACTTTTTTTTTTTTTTTTTTTTTTTTTAACGGACCGTGCAAGTAGAGTTGATGCATAGAAGAGAATGTTGCTTTTGCTAAGATAGGCACTCATGAAAAGTTTGGTGACAAGTATAGAATGAAATTACACAATATTTATTAAAAGGTCTGAAAAGTAAGCATCTGTGTTACTATTGTAGTGGCTGAACAAAGTGCTTGTGGTAGACAAGATGGGATAGTCTATAGCTGCTTAAGCTGGTAACACATAAGAAAAACAGGCTTTAACAAGCTTCCACTCTCTTGTCCTCGTGTCTCAGTCTAATTGTCATCTGCCTTTCTCACTCTTTCCAGCTTGCAAAAACAGCCCATGACCTAAGTAAAATGGCAGTCATTTACCTGGTGGATGTGAACGATGTCCCAGTGTACACCCAGTATTTTGACATCAGTTATATTCCATCTACTGTATTTTTCTTCAATGGACAGCACATGAAGGTTGATTATGGGTAAGTCATCCTACCGTTGTCTATTATGTCCATCATAATTATCAGTCTTTTTCTATGTTATCATGTCTGGGGAAAGTCACATTTGAAAACCATAATGTTGCTACCAGCATCTGCACTGAGAATTCTGTAGGAAGCCAGAAGGATGTAAATAAGGAAGTAATTTGAAATATGCTCTGATGCAATAAGTAGGTGAAATATATCTGACTCTGCAAAAAATAGTAAGAAATGGTTGAAATCTTAGACATGACGCTGCACCTGTTAGAGCTTTGGAGGTCACAGCATATTCCTGACTTGGTTATGCTGTTACAAAGTTAGTTCATCCTTTCAGAATGAGCAGATCAGAACTCCTTATCTCATTTGGGCATCTTTTCACATTTTTAGGTGGTGTTTCTCTGAATACTTTAACATTGCAATTCTGCCTTTGTCTTATGCTTATATTTAGGTCTCCAGATCACACCAAATTTGTGGGAAGCTTCAAAACAAAGCAAGACTTTATAGATCTGATTGAAGTGATTTACCGCGGAGCAATGCGGGGAAAGCTCATTGTGAGAAGTCCTATTGATCCCAACAACATTCCTAAATATGACCTTCTCTACCAAGGAATTTAATGGGTTGACCTGAGAAAATAATTACACAAATGGACGATGTGGTAGATCCCTTTTTCCTTTGAGCATTTTTGGCCTCCTCTGACATTGTGGGACAGTTTGAGCATTTATCCTGAAGGATCATATTGGTCTCCTTCTGAAGACAGATATTCTGTCGCCTCGTGCTTCTCTCATGAATAAAGCTACATGCTCATGCACAGAGTTCACAGAAGTGACTGTTCTTTGAGCTGTGTGCTGACCAGCCCTTACAAAACAGGTAGGCTGTGTGCATCCTCAGCTGTGGCATCTCCAGTGCAACCTTCTTCAGGGAACCGAGGCACTCTGTTAGTTGTCTGTTTAGTACCATTTTCATTCAGATGTAATAACATTAAACCTGACATTAATAAAAAAAGCTGTTCTTGTGCTCAAGAACATTCAATTGAATGTGCCTTATAGAATGTTACATTTTACCCATTGCTGCATAACAGGACAGAAGTTTCTTCTGAGAGATGATGACTGATCTGAAATGGATATAAACACAAAGGCAAGTTGATGCTCTCTTCTCTCTGATACCCATTATTACTGTTCAACAGCTTTTTTGACTGAGATTGGAATGCTCTGCGCTTGTAGGAGAAGGTTTTGTCATCCAAAGGATCCTTTTTTGTGGCCATTGAACACTTTTGATTCCCATGGGTTTGAACTGGAAATTAAGAATAATTTTTTTGTTTACATTCACTTTAGAGATTATTTGAACTTCTGCTTGTACACATTGCAAGCCCTGAGTATGTAAATTTAAAAACCGTATTTCCCACCTCTGTCTAAATTTAAACAGCTGAGAGGAAGCAGCAGTGTCATTCCCTTCCATCAGTTTGGTAACTGTAGGTTGCCAGACTAGTGTATCTCTATAGCAGCTCATGTCCAGTGTTCTCACTGGCTTAGCTGGCTTTAAAATGGAAATTGTTTTACCTCCATGTGTCATGTTTGGGGCACACCAGCTCTGACTGGAGGAAAGGTAGTAGTATATACTTCCCTGAAGCATTGTTCAGCTTAACAGTAAATGTTTAAAGGAGGAAGGTGGATGTTCCAGCTCTTGAAAGATTTTAAACAATACGTGGTACATAGGAGGAAACTGATTGTTTAGATGCTTTCGCTATTCCAGATTTGGCCTTATAATGAAGCTAAGCACTTAAGCAAATGTTTTCCTGATAGTTTAGTCTGATTATAGAGTGAAAACTATATAATGTTTATTATAAAAAAAATGATAGATGAGAGTTGGTATACCTTAACATCTTTAATTCAACTTTAAATTTCACAGCTAGCTAAAGGGTTGTGGCTTAAGGCTTTCAACAATGCGTATCTTTCCTAATGGTTAACTTTTGTGTTTTTCTTCTCAAAACCAAACATAGTTTCAAACTTAGAACTGAATTTCTCCATAGTGAGCTGAAAGTGCTTAAGTGACAGAAGGGTGCAGAGGCACCCATGAAAGGAAGAGACCACTATCAAGAACAAACCAGTGTATCTTTACGTATTGCTTCTCTTCTTTCTTGTGCTGCTTCTGGTTGCAACAGGCGAATTCCTCAAGGCTGTTGTGATCTTGGCTTTCAGCATGCCCTTCAGGTACTTAAAGATGGGTTGTAAGCAGCAGGAAGGTGCTAAACCATACTTTTCTGTTCCAGCAGAGAAAGTAGGACAATTTACTCTCATGAGAAAGTGCACAGTTTTATTTAGGGGTTTACTGTTTGACACCCATTCTCGGCAGTTTTTGTGTATCCATTCCTGTATTTCTGGATCATGTCTGCTCTGGTGCTGCATGTTGTGCGTGGAGTCGATGAACGCCACAGAGTACACTTTATTCATCACCTCGCGTTTCCTCTGCACCAGCAGATCAACAAACACCAACCCACCATAGCCATGGGCAATGAAGGCCACATTCCTGGCTGCACTCTTTGCAATGAAATGATCCCATACATACATGGTATGCTCCTCAGGGCTGCTGCTGCCCCTTTTGGGGATCCAGCAGACAGACTGTGTAAAAGTAAGCCCTTCTTCCCTAGCAGAAAATCTCTCCTTTTCAGTGTTCAGGTCAGTGAAGTTGTCATTGGGGTTCAGTACAATCACTTCCCAGTGGCTCTGCAGGGCCATTTTGATGAATGGTATTTGTGTTCCGTGTTTCAGGCCCTCACTGACAATTGCCCGTCGCCCCCACTGTCCAGCACAAAAACCTCCTTGGTCTTGAAGAAAGATAATTAGGGTAGAGGAACTTGTTAATGCATCCTTGCTCATGAAAAAGAAGCTTCTTGGTTCACCCTCTGTAGCGTCAGTAGGAATATAAACCTTCTGCAGCATGCAGACTCTTTCCAGGAGCTCATAAACGTACTGGGTAATAGAATGTCCCAGAACTTCGTAGCGTTTGTGATTCTGCTCATGTCCATTCTTGTAGTAATTGAAAACAAAGCACTCATTTGTATCTAGGTGCCTCAGTTCTCCTTTTATATTGAAGTCATATTTTAGTTCCTCTTGATACTCTGAATCCTCTGTTAGTTTCCTCAAACTGAGTTCACGCTGTATTTGTAACCACTACAAATTAAGAAGACTATTATGTCAAAGTAGTGATAGACCTCCACACAACACCTGTCTACCCACCTCTGTCCCACATGAGAATTTAGATTTAAAAGCTGTTACTAATTAAATACTTGTTGAACCAGAGTATTTCCTGGTGATGTATAGCAAACCAGCTGCTTCTGAAGCCTCTTAGAGATGTCAGTTGTGAAGTTCCAACAGCAGTAACTCCTCTGCATTTATTACACCTTATTTCAGTTTGGTAGTTAAAAATTTGTAAGTAGCATGTTTATTTAAATATCTGTTTAAGGTAGTTTGAATTAAAGGCTTTAAGAAGGAGGCATATGTACATGGTTCATTGTTCACTTGAACAACTTTTATTGTGCTGTCTCCTAGCCGTTATCTTGGAACTCCACTGAGTTTCAAGGCCACCTTTGAAATTCAGGCCTAGGCAGTTGGAAATAGTCCAAGTGTCAGTGGACTGAGTTTTTAAAGAAAATAAGCTGCGCTTACTAAGGACTTCAACCCTCCCATTGCTTGTCTACCAGCATACTCTCCATGTTCTTCTACCTTCAACTGCACTAGAACAGATAATACATGTATGTGTTTGCTTTATGCTAATCACTCTAGTCATTCATCCTTGCAAGCACTTGCCACCTGGAAATACAGGAATGGATGACAGACTAAACTGTGATCCAGGAACAGGAGAAAGGAAAGTCCAGGCAGAAAACTATCATGAGGTTGGACTGAGGTCTCCAATTTCAGATTATCTCTAATGACTGATATGAATTATACCAGAAAGTGGTTTTTGTGCAGCTGAAAAATTAAGCTTATCATAACCTTCTACTTTCCTAGTAATTCTTCAATCTACTACTGACTGTCACTGGCTGTAGAACAGCAAACAGGGTGCAACCTTTGGTGTGGTCAGAATCCTACCTTTACAGGAGTTTAGTCCTAATACAGTAATTTTTTTCCCCTGTAAATGATCTGAATCAAGTTATATTTGGCAAGTTAGACTGCATACCTTTAAGTTTTTGCTGAACTAAAAGAAGTTTTATAGAACACAATTACATTCTGTGTTAAAAGTCACTGTACCATTTGATAAAGCCAATTACTAGGACAAAAAGTGATCTGAATATTTTCATGTAAGCAACTTGATTTGGAACGCAAATCTTGCAAGGAATGCAAGTTTCCTTGAGGTAAGGTGCTTAGCAGATTGAAAATTATTTCTTACACTCCTAAATTAAAAAAACTAACCAAAAAAAACCAAACAAACATTTTTTGCTTTTCAACGTAACAACATCATATGTATTTTCCTTTTGAGTAATCTCCACCGGGCCAGTGTTATTAAGTCCTCTCTTTGTGGTCATTCCTATCTTCTAAATAATAGAGAGCAGGCTAGAAAATTATACTTTCTCCTTTTTTATCTCATATAATCAGTACACATAGAAAAAGGGGGAAAATCATATGCTATGATACATAATCCATTTATTACTAGCTTGCCAGTTTCTTGAAATGGAAACAACACAAAGAAAATGCAAGGGCACCCATTCATCTATGATTTTTTCATTCTGCAGGAAGGCACGAGAGACAAAGGAGATGGGAAAACAGTCTGTTTGCTATACTACTGAAATATGGGCAATTAATGCAAAAGAAGTAATACTTAGTGGGAAAGAAGCTACCCATATGCCAGTTGTTGTTCCCATGAGACAAAGTAGAAGAAAAATGGACATATTTTAAGGAAAGATGTGTGTAAAGAAAGGCAGAAAGCTTTCTGTAAGAATTAGGAATAGGTAAATGCTGTTTTCTCAGAGTGGTATGCTGGGGACCACCTCTCAGTCCCTTTCCCTCCTCACCCCTAAAAGACTGGAGAGACTAATTTCCCAGCATACTCTGACTAGGAGGTTACTATTCTTTTACTTCACCTACTAACAGCAACATTGCTTTTTCAGCTCCAAAACAAGGATATGTGATTCAGAATTAAACTCTGAACATCTATTTTACAAAGCATTGTGAAGGGTTGCTGAAGATTTCAGGAGGCAGAAAAAAACCAAACAAACACAGTTTTACAGTGTTTGTAAGGTACACATATGACTTTCCTACCTAAAATTGCCTTCAGGATGCAAAATGAAAAGTTTTGAGACAATTAATGATTGGTTATCACTTTGGACTTTAATTAAATAGCAGCTTAAATTATATACTTGTTAGTTCAGAGGACTGATTTTATTGTAGTAACACAATTAATTATGGAATTAAAAAGTAGCAATTACAGGTTGTTCCAGATACAGCTGCATAATGCATGCACTTCTTTGGTGTAAGCCTGCATTCTAAATCAGCATTGATAGCGAGCTGTACTTCACTGTCTATATATAAATGTAATGTTCAAGGTTGTATATGCTGGCAGCCTTTACAGTTGCTACCTTAGTTTAAAAATTTGCTTTTGGGGAAAAATAATCCCTCTTTCCTTTCCTCCCACTTTTCTATTCAGATTCTAAAATGCTTCAGATGTAAATTCAGCTGGTGCTTGTTGCAGTATTTGGCATATTGTAAACACCACTGCAGTATAAGTACTACGTAAGATCCATAAAGATTGCTTTGTTTTCCATTTAAAACCACTTCATTCCAGTAAAGCCCAATATTACCGTATGCTCTTCTGTCATCATCATAGATGGAAATCTTTTTCACTCTGGGACTGTAGACAAGTCCTCTGCATGAAAAAAATAAACCAAATCATGGTTTCAGTTTTCATTACTTTACGTACTGGGGTGTGTATCTACAAGATCTATCAGTAGCTGATAGTTTGTGGCCACGTAAAATGCACCCGATAGTTCCAAGTTACAAACTAACCTCTCTTGTTGGTAATTCACACCGGAGAGAAAGCTAAAGCTAAACCTCGAGTATGAAACGAAATAGTCGTCCACACCAGTTTTAATTCCCACTACCAAGAAGAAAACAAAGCAGAAAGCACCACACAAAACTTACAATTTTGAAGCTGCCCTGAAAAAAAACACAGCAAAAAATCCCCAATCAACAAATCTTCCTCTCCCCTTGGCTGCAGGAGGATTTCTAAGGGCAGCGGCTGCAAACCGCGGCCAGCCGGGGTTATGAGGGCGCTCCCCGGCTGTGCCTGTCCCCCGTCAGGGGATTCATTTGGCGGGGTCTGGCTGGCAGCTGAGGGAAACGTCATTAGCAAGGTACAACTTAAACCTGGGCCGGCCCGGGTTCATTATAGCTTCTTTACAGGTAACACGGTTTTCTCGGCTCTTTAGTGGCTTTCAGCGGGTCAGTGCCGAGCTCACCCCGAGCAGGTTAAAGCTCGGAGGGCCTGAGGGCGGGTGGCGGCTCCGGCACGGCGGGGCGGTGCCCGGCCCGGAAGTACCCGGGGAAGCTGCGCAGGACGGCGGCGGGGCGGCCCGGCCCGGGTTAACAGCTCTGGTGGTGGCGGTGAGTGTTTGTGCTGCCGCTGGGGCCGTTCGCTCCCTCCCGCTGCCGGCCCTTCGGCGGGGCAGGGGGTGGGAGGAGGGCAGGGCCGCAGCCGGCCGGCAGCGTTTCGGGGGGGCTCGTGCGGCCGCGGTGTCCGCCGCGAACGAGCGGAGCCGGCAGCGCGGCTGAGCGGAGGGCACCGAGGGACGGAGGGAGGGCTGGTGGCGGCGTTGCTGCGACTCTGGGAGAAGGCTGAGGAGAGAGTGTAGAAAGGTGGAATTGCTGGCTCAGGCCCTTGGGGTTTGCGGGTTTGTCAGAGGGAAGCTGTTCCCCTCCTAGCGGGGGGAGCCGGAGCTGCGGAGCTCGGGCAGCCCCGTGCCGGGGCCGGGCTCCTGCGGTGACAGCCCGCACGCTGCCGCTCCGGCTGCTGCCCGCTCCCCCGAGCTGCCAGGCCGCCCCCTTCGGCCGCTCCTCCTCGTCGCAGGCGTCGGAACGGGCGGTACTTTGGCTTTTCTTTATCGGTCTGTTCCCCACCCTGGGGGACTATGGCTCTAAGCTAAAAAAACCTCTGAGATAAGTACAAGTCCCCGAACTTGGCTTCTCGAGAGACTCCAAACTAGCTGTAATCTTTCGAGGTCTTATGCCAGAGTCGTATAAAATATGTATAAAGAGAATACCTATAAATGCTGAAATTTATAGGTATTCTCCAAGGCTGTGTTCTTCTAGTGATGAAATTTATAGGTTTAACAGGAATCCTTGGCTATTATTTATTCTTGGAGCCCTTGCAGTGGTACAGATGTCTTCTTTTTCTCCTTTTCACTCTAAGTGTGAACTGCTTATTAGTTGTGTGCCTGCTGCAAGGAGTTAATCAGTAAATGTCACAGCTAAGGATAAATTCTAGGACAATTTCATTAACAATTTAGTCTATACTGACAATCCAGAGCCTTACCCAGGTGTGTTACTTTTTACCAATGCCTGTAAGTGACAGGGCAAGACGGAATGGTCATAAATTGAGAGTAGGTGTAGATTGGACATGAGGAAGAATTATTTTTTACAGTGAGAATGGTGACACTAGAACAGGTTGCCCAGAGAAGCAGTGGATGCCCCATCCGTGGGACTGTTCAAGGTCAGGTTGAATAGGCTTTGAGCAACATGATAGTTGAAAGATGTCCCTGCCCATGGCAAGAGGGCTGGACTATAAAATCTTTTTAATTCCCCATCCAACTCAAGTCATGTTATGATTGTGGTTTTTTTGTTCTACATTGCTCAGAATTAATTTTCTTGTTCTTTCTTAGTGCCTGCTACTGTGGTTCTACTTGCCTCTTAATCAATAAACCAGAAATTGTTAAGTTTCTTTTTTTTTTTTCCCCTTTGTATTTTTTTCCAGTAGACAAAACCATGTCAGGAAGAACATCATCTTCAAGTCACGCTGGTGTAAGTGTTCCTGAAATTTTCAACATTTTATTTTGAGGCTGTGGGTATCCTAGGGTGTACTAATGTGTTTGCACAACCAAATTCATTCTTCACTTTGTTGGAACATGCTTTCTTGGGAAACTGTTGTTGTGGTAGCAGTCAATACTAATGTCTACTGTTGTACATTTATTAATACATTATAGGCTTAGCATTTGATTACACATAAACAGGGTGTTTTCCAAGTTATTTTAAGACCTAGACTAACACCTAAAATTTTAGAGTAATTTGAAGTAAGTAGAACCCCTGCAAAACTGTGTAAAAGTTGGGTGTCTGTAGAGATGTACTCAGAGGCTTATTACGCTGGTGTGGTCTGGTCTTTTTCCTAAAATATCCCTGTTAGAAGCAGTTTCTAGCAGTGGGAGTACTGGTGAGAACAAATGGTAGACATAGGAACAGGTATGCTTGGGTGAGGTCTGGGTGATCTACTGGTTTAGAAATAAGCTGTTTCCAGCACTGTGTTTATGCACTTTCTCTGGCCCTTACTTTTACAGGTGGGAACCTTCGGGAAAGTATTGCTGATTTAGATGAGTCTGCCGAGTGCGTATGCACATGTATGTGTAGAGTTAGTCACTTTGAATTTGGGAAAAGCTGAGGCAACTGCATACCTTGTGTTTAGCATAGATTCAGACCTCTCTTTGCCCGTTGACTTTGTGCTTGCTCTGTAAGTTAATTGTGGGTGCTGTAAACCAGCATCTTCTTAATGAGTGCAAGCATTGGGAAGATGCTGTGTGGTGAGCTGGAAATGTTGCTGGCTAATGTACCTTGTGCTTTTTATCCCTTTCTGTCAGTTGTCTCTTTACTGAGTCTGACTTTATCTGTACGTAGTGTTGTCTGTTACATCATTAGAGAAGTTACAGAATCTCTTTAATTTCAAATGTATGTTAAAATTCTAGATAACTGTGTGTTCTTTGGAATCTCATAACAGAAGCTGCTAGTCAGGCAGCAGGTGGTCTGAAGTAAGAAATCTGTTCCTAGCCCTTACAATGCATATCAGAAATATGCATTCTGACTGATAAACATGTTTATAGGCCGCTTCTAAAACAAAACCAACCAAACAAATTTAAAACAATCTACTTGTAGAAGCTGCTGGATAAGAAAATGTTTCAATCCTTCCATGTTGATTGAAAAGGAAGGTGCTTGTCTGAGAAGTTATTGCCTGTGTGTAACATCTGTATCCTTTAGAGTTTGAGGAATCTGATATTAAAGGAGTGTTTAGTGTAGTGTTTGACCATCAAAGGAAGCCTGAGACACAGTATAGAAATTTGAGTCTAATTACAAAAAAACTTTAATCTTAGATTCAAAGAAGTTTAGAGGAGTAAAAGCACTCACAATTCAGACTGAAGGACTGAAATATTATCTCATTAAGGTGCAGCATGCTTCCTTATGGTCTGTCTGAAGGACTACCTGCTGATCTAATGAATGCAGTTAAAGTGCTAATAATTAGGTTGTTAGAGTCACTGTTCTGGAATCCCTGCTTGTAATTTCATGTTACAATGCAAGGCATCTGGTGGCTTGCAAATCGAGTTCATAGGATGCTTTACGGTGTCCATCATATGGAGTAGCTTCAGCTTTTTCCTGCCCGAGCTAGATTCAGTTGTCTGAGAGGTGTAAATGTTGCATTCCTTCTCTGATACGTTCTCATCTGGTTGTATTTGCAATGTAAGGTTTTGCTTCTCAGGATGCCTGGAGCAGTAACAATGCTTGCACCTTTATTCTTTCAGTTGACATTTTAACTGGTTTAATTAGCTGATAGGAAATATCATCCTGTTTCCTTGTCTTATGAACTAGTACAAATTTATTTTGATTATTGTTCGATTTTCAATGAACAAACCTTCTTTTCTACATATAATTTTTTTCTGAACTGGTGAATTCATGTGGATTACTAACTGCTTTCTCTTTCAATAATTACTTTCAAAATGCTGTCTCCATTTTTGTGGGAGTTGGCAATGACAATAGCTGACACCATTCTGAGAACATTAAAGTCTAATGCCAAATTATCATACCAAAATACTTGTACTATTATAAGATGTAATTGTTCTTCATCCTGAGTTTTTCCTTTTGAGAAAGCAAACCTGATCATGACATTCAATTATTTCGTTTTCTCTTTATCATTCTCTAAGCTGAGACAGTTAAACTAGAGTGTAAACAAACTAGAATGAACCAAGAAGACTGTGCCAGTGGATTGGTTGTCACTTTTTTGTCACCTTGGAAGGTGTAAAGTTAATGAAATGGAACTTTTTCAGATGGTTTCATGTGTTAAAACTAGCTCATTGTGTGATATGACACATGATTTGGGATAAGGCATTAATGAAGAATGCATTTCAAGTAAAGTCACAAGTCAGGGCTTCCCTTACAACTTTATTTTGCCCAGTTAAGACAACATTGTACATGGAGGTATGTCAGCTCATAGCACCAGTGGATAATTTAGTTTTACCATGTGTAACATCATCTATTTTCAGTTTCGTATACCAAAGAAGAAAACAAACACCAAGTCAGAGGATGTCCAAGTTCAGTCCCCTTTGGCAAGGCTCCCAGGCTCCCACCATTGTGACTACCCTTTAAAAGAGGTAAAGAGAAGTTCTTCAGAGTGTAAAGCGTGTAGGAGAATGTTACATGAGGTTTTGGTTTAGTTTTGGAGGCTGTTTTTTTTCAAGACCAAGTGCTGCCTTGTCACCACTAACTAACCAGACTGTCTTGAGAGAGGCAAGTGTGTAAGTCTGAAATCTGTTTGCAAGCATATATTTACAGGAATGGGAGTCTTAGTGCCATGTTTCCTAAATCATTGAAAAGCAGTTTATCTTTGGGTGTAGTTTGAAACTGTCTTGAAAATCATTGATTTAAATGTAAATATGATATTTATTTTTTTTTAGTTGATTGTCTTCTGACTGCTGAACTTTTGGGTTATATTCAGATCACTTACCAAACTTTTTACTATATGATAATAACATTTACATTGAGTTTTTCAGTTATCCAAGAACTTAAGCTTTTAAGAGACTATATGAAGCACTCTATGCCTCTTGACAGAAATTTAGGTGCTGATACAGAAATAACTGTATTAAGACCAAAAGACTGTAAGAGTCTTATGGCACTTATCATAACTGAGTGTCTGGATCATCTCAGTCACATATAGAAGCAAATATTTACCTCTATAAATCTTTTCAAAATTTCATAAGCATTTCAATTGTCAAGTGTTGGAAACCAATTTTGCTGCTCGTTTCCTTCAGC